GATATAAAGCTCGTCTTGTCGCTAATGGATTTCATCAAAAGATGGGTGTTGATTACACCGAGACCTTTAGTCTTGTGGTTAAGCATGTTACCATTTGTCTGGTTCTTGCCCTTGCAGTTTCTTATAATTGGCCTATACGCCAACTTAATGTACAGAACGTGTTTTTGCACGGGAATCTCTCTGGAGAAGTTTTCATGAAACAACCTGTTTGGACCCGATTTTACACCATCGGCTTGAGTAATCGAGGTCGTTGAGTGAGCATGTTTCTTAACCGTTAGATAAGTTAATTTGCTATTGTTAAGAGATAATATTATGGTTTTTAATCATAATAATTTTCTTTTAATAAATTATCTCAATTTTCTTGTACAAAATAAATGGGATGCAAATCACAACCTTAACGTAGAAGCAAGCAGAACAGTTCGAGTTAATTTGGATTTGTTAGCAGTGTACTGTGTGAATTAGAACAGCTTGGCTTGGACTCTTCACGTGGCATAGCATGGATATGCAAGTTTTGGATAATGGTGAATAGAAAACCTAAGTAGGTTAGGTTGTTTGATGGATGTTGTCAGACGGATAGACTTTTGGATGGGTGATGGGTTTTTATTAGCTTTGAAAAGTCAGCTACTTGAAGATAGACTTTAAGTCTATGCCACGGATCAGTTTGAGTTCCAGTTATTTTCTACGAAATCATCATGGCCGCGCCAAGCAGGATCATGCATATTTGAAAGAGAATATTCCTATTATTTTTCAACTTGCGATGTCAATCTTAGGGTTACTGGTGAATTATAAATACAGATGCAATGGCAATGGAAAAAGGGACCTCCAATTCAATACACAATTGCCCTGCGAAACCTCTCAAACATCTTGAGATTTTTTATTTTCTTTTTCCCGCCGACACATCTTCAGTTTGGATAAACAGGACTGTGAAGGCAACCGACGAACACCTTCAGTTTGGATAAACAACATTGTTGCCGTAGAATCAGCTGACCGAGGAGCACTTTCAGTTTGGATAAACAGCACTGCGTCGAGGCCGACTGGTTACCTATCCAAGTCTCGGTCGAGAAAGGTTTCTGAATCCTTATTGGCAGAGGTCATCTTATTAGCCTTCTCGGCGAAGTAAGGTGTTACAAGTTACGACATTCGGCGCATTGAACGCCGATTGATTTTATGATTGGATACTCACAAGTGAGTTTCAAAGTTCGGCATTCTGATGGCCAAACCACATTCACCATCAAGACATACATCACCTTTGAATACTTGTGTCCGTACAGTCTGGTGTCGATTCGACATGTTTATACTTTCACGAATATAATCACTGTGACCAAATCCGGTGCCGACGATTTGTGAACTTCGTAGAACTAGCAGCCTTGTCTTCAGGCTCGAGAATCCAAAGGCCAATATTTGTTCCTTCCTCGGTTGCAGTCGCAAAATAAAGAAGTCAGCAATGCGCTCAACGCAACATCAACAAATTTTACTCCTCATCCGAGCTCGGATGACGAGTTGGCATGCCCCGCATTCAACCGAATGACATAGTTAGGTTATTAGTTACTCGGCCTGCGCGCTACGTAGGCTTTGTAATTTTTAGGATCAATACAACCACGTGGTTTTGAAGATCCTGAGTATCTTCATCATGTTTGTCGTTTGCGCAAGTCCTTATATGGCTTGAAACAAGCCCCAAGAGCCTGGTTTCATCGTTTTTCTAAATATCTTATTGATTTGGGCTTTGTGGCATCACAAGCAGATCATTCTCTCTTCATTTTTAATAACCATAGAGTGTATTTGATTTTTCTAATCTACGTTGATGACATCCTTATCACAGGAAATCAATGCTCTTATGTTGATTCACTTATCCATGCACTTGGTCAGAGTTTTTCTATGAAAGATTTGGGACCCCTCCATTTTTTCTTGGGTCTTGAAGCAACTCGTGGAGATGATGGGTTACATCTAAAGCAAACAAAATATATTGTTGATTTGTTGAAGCGTGTAGATATGTTGGAAGCCAAGCCTTGTGCTACTCCAGTTCAATCTAGCTCCCCACTTCGCTCTCATGATGGTGTTCCCTTGCATAATCCTACCAGCTACCGAAGTGTGGTCAGCGCCCTGCAATACTTAACAATCACCAGACCTGACATCACGTATGCAGTGAATCAAGTATGTCAGCATATGCACCAGCCCACCTCAGTTCATTAGATTGCAGTCAAGAAAATCCTTCATTACTTAAAAGGCACAACTAAGGAAGGGCTCCAGTTTCATCGTGGTGGTACTGATTTGGTTGGCTTTTCAGACTCGGACTATATCAAGGATCCAGACACTAGACGCTCCACTGGTGGTTTCTGCATATATTTTGGTCCAAATTTAATTTCTTGGAGTTCCAAAAAGCGACGCACAGTTGCTCGTTCAAATACCAAATCAGAATATCGGCAGTTGGCCATCACGGCAACTGAACTTGTTTGGCTTCAACAACTGTTGCAGGAGCTTTGCATCAGTATTTCGACTCATTTGATTTGGTGTGATAACACAAGCTCCATTGCATTGGCGTCTAATCCCGTGTTCCATGCTAGAACAAAACATGTTGCTGTGGATTATCATTTTGTGCATGAGCTTGTAGTGGCAAGGTCATTGAATGTCTGTCATGTGTCTACTAAATTTCAGATTGCAGATATCTTCACCAAGGGCTTGTCTGCTGATCGTTTTCATTTCTTAAAGTCCAAGCTCGTTCGTCGTCCGCTCATGAGCTTGCGGGGGGATGATGAAGATAAGAATGATGGAGATAACAATTAAGCAAAGTTTTCAATTTTGGATACAAAGTCAAGCAAACAAGATCAAGCAAAATCATACTTTGTGATTACAAAGTCAAGGGTCTATTGTATAGGCACTCATTGCTGTATAGCCTAGCATTTATTACATGTAGTTGGATGTGGTTGGGAGTTGCTGCCTTTATTGCATGAGACTCCAGCACTCCTATATAAGGAGTTTCTTGTACCATTTGTAAGTGAAACAGATAAATAGATTATTTCTCCAAAACAGAGTTTAATTATAAGTTTTCAAATACCATTCTCTTCAGTTGGTTCATTTTCTTTTTCATGTTATATAGTTTGCATCCGGAGTTTTTAGTTTCGTGTTTGTCCTCTCACAAACTTTGTTTTCATTTCTCAAATTCTTTTTCAATAGTTTTTTTCTTTCTTTTGTTGATGATACTATGTTGAATAATTTTATGCCACTCTTCTAATGATCTTGAGCTGTTTATAGGGCTGCGATCCAGCCAGATGATAAACTTTTTAATTGGAAAGGTGTACCAGCAGTTCGTCGACATATCCGAAATTTTGACGATTTCCAGTTCGCCATTCTCGATATTTTCAAGTAAGCTTATTATACAAGTTAGCGAGAAGTAAAATACGTGATTTTGAATAATAATATACAAGATTGAACTCAAGTCACCTAAACACTATTACTTCAGAAGCCCTATTAACTGTAGTCAGCATTAGCAACCAAAATTGGCCATTTTTTCACAACTAAACCAGCAACTATTTTAATCACTCATAATGGTTTCCAGTTTTTACATGATCATACTTGAGAAAAATGAAAACATCGCCACAGCGGAAAGAACACTCTTCTTTTAAACAGCCTAAAGCATATTGTTATAAACATAGAACTAATCTCTAATATGTGTCTTTTTCTTTCTAATTAGCTTAAGTCATATTCTTGCATTTTATTATGGGATGAGGATCCATCCGGATCCGAATGGTGGGGATCCTAGGGATCCTCACATGCTAGCCATTCATCGTATATCGTGCGGTCAGAAATCATTTGAATTTTATTATTTAAAATTAAACACAAATAGTATTTGATGAAAACTAACCACAAGATATACGATGAACGGTTAGGATGTGAGGATCCCTAGATTGTGAGTTCCTCATATGGTAATTCTTGTCTAAATATTTGCCTTGTCCAAAAGTTGATACACAAACATACAAAATTGTATGCTTGGGTCTTTATTATTATTATTTTTTTTTAGGACATCGATATTTTTATACTAAGGAAAGGGTAAGTTCGACTAAGCCAATGCAATGAGCAGCTTAATTTGGTATCGAATTCTTCATCCTCAAGATTCAAGCCTAAGGCTATCTCCAACCGAAGGAGGGCCAGAGCCCTCTGGTCCTCCAAGAAATTAATATTTTAATGAACAATGCATGACCATATTTCTTACCATCTCCAACTGAAGGCCAAAGGACCATAGGGCTTGTTTTAGCCATATCACAAAAAATCATCTCCAACCGAGTGCCATAGGCCATAATTTATTACTTAAATTTATAAACTACAACAACTTAAATTTATAGGGAAAAAATGAGAATTTTTTAATATTTTTTTTTAAAAATTGGCCGAAAAAAAAAATTCAAATTCAAATCCAACGACTAGCTGATGTCAGCTAGCCGGTTGATTTGAATTTTTTGTTTTTTACTATAAATAGGACGGATATTGGGCTATAATTCACACACCTTTGAATTCAATCTCTTTCAATTCAATTTCTTTCAATTCAAGTTTACAATGAATTCCAACTTTGGATCCTCTTCGAATTCCAACTGGGGTCCTCATCCAATTCCGAATTGGAAGAAAAATTGGCGCAGATGGGATGAGAAGATTATAAGTCTGATGAAGAAGATGAAGCATGGCGCAACACACAATATGTGGCAGCCATGGCTACGACCATATTGTGTCAGCCAACTGAGGAACAACCTCAATAGGGTGGCTTTATTGCTGGTCGTTTTTACAAACCACGAAACAAAGCGATGGCGCATACCAATCTAATGAACAACTACTTCAACCCTAACTCGGTGTACACAGAAGAGGATTTCAGACGTCGCTTCTGGACGAGGCATCACATCTTCGAGTGTTAACTTCATGATGTCCAGCAGATCAATGCATACTTTCAACAAAAGCTAGACAGAGCAGGCCGTCCTGGTTTCTCACCTCATCAAAAGGTTACTGTTGCACTATGAATGATGGCCTATGACTCCCTAACTGATTCAATGGATGAAACTCATGGTATGTCTGAGTTTACATACCTTGATACTCTTGCTGAATTATGTGACATAATTGTTCAACTTTACAAAGAGGAGTACCTCCGCGAGCCAAATCAAAAAGATCTGGATCGGCTCATTCGCAAAGCTGAAGACCGTGGGTTTTCGGGCATGATAGGGTCATTAGATTGCATGCATTGGAATTGGAAGAACTGTCCCACCGGATGGCAAAGAGGCTTTAGCGGAAGGTCGAAAAAGCCAATTGTTGTGTTAGAGGCAGTTGCCTCGTATGACACATGGATCTGACATGCTTTCTTTGGAGTCCTTAGATCCCAAAATGACATTATAGTTATTGGGCGTTTACCCCTCTTCAATAACCGGAAGGAAGGTAAATCGCCTCAACTTGACTACTACATCAACGGTCATCAGTACAATATGGGCTATTACTTGGCAGATGACATCTACCCACAATGGGTGACACTTGTCCAAGCAATTCCAAACCCTGAAAATGATGCTGAAAAGTGTTTTATCTTACACCAAGAGGCATATCGGAAAGATGTTAAGAGAGCTTTCAGTATTCTACAAGCACGGTGGAAAATCATCAAGGAATCGGCAAGATGGTGGAGTCGAGAAAATTTGGACTCCATCATGATGTCTTGCATCATATTACACAACATGATTATAGAGGATGAGCGAAATAGGTATATTGATGGAGAGTCTGATGACGACCAAGAGGATCCAAATAGGTCAAGAAGGGCTCGTGCAAAAATATATGATGGGCCTAATTTGCCTTTCAATCCAAGAGCTGGTAGTATCTCTTTAAATGAGTACATGAGGTGCTATAGGATGATACATTCCCCTGCCACAAACAAGTACCTACAACAAGATCTTGTTGCATATCGTTGGGCCAAAAAAAGCATGGAGTAGGCGTTTAAGTTTTATGTCGTTAAATGTTTTTAAAAATGTTGTTTAAGTTTCATGTTGTTAAATGCTTTTTTTATGTTGTTTAATATTATTTAATGTTATTTAATATTGTTTAATGTTGTTTCATGTTACTTAATCTTGTTTAATGTTGTTTCATGTTACTTAGCTCATTATCTTCAAACGACAATAAGTACACCATGCAAGCCATCCCTTTTCCACAAGCAAAAGCGCAAAAGCACATGGTCAAACACACAAGCTAGCTATCAAGGTTTTCACTACTAGGAAAAATGATGAAGGGCATTGTGATCAGTGCCGGAGTGAGATCTTGCCCTTCCTCCCCGGTTCAACAGCTCTAACTATACTTATAAAAATATAAGTGCGACCAATTGGTATCAAACTGTAAGGGCAAAGATACTCAAAGCTATGGGCAGGCACTTGGAAATGAAAATCGAAACCGAAACACAAACCAAATTAGACCACACTGAACAGTTCGATTTTGCGCTTTTGAAACAGTTGCAGTTTTGAAACCAAACGCAATGTAGTGAAATGGTTTGGTTTCAATTTTGGCTTTTGAAAACTGTACCAAAACTAACCGCCCCTCAAATTAATGTCATAGTCCATACATTCAGTATGGACTGAACCACACTAGCACGTCATCCCTTTCTACCCCTAGCTTACAAAATGTTTAATTATATCAATACTAAGGTTCTAAAAGATGTTAGGAGCTAGTCGGGTGGTGGGCTAGGGCCTAGCGCCTAGGCGGATTTAAGTAAATCTACTATATTTCATGTAAATAAGTGTCTGTTTATACTTAAAATATATATAATTTCATCATAAACTACAAAACAGAATGACATATATATTATGAAGTATTGGAACATAATGAAAATATGGGGAACAAACATATAATGTTTGTTCATTTAAGTATTCAACAAGTCTCTTACAAAGTATTGAAAAAAATAAAATGCAAAATGAAAGTTATCTATCTAAGTGAGTCGCAACCTAGGTAGGTGACTAGGCAGGTCTGGGTGGGCTAGGCGGGTGCCTTAGTAAGTTTAGGTGCCCTTCTTAATTTTCAAACGCCTAGGCATTAATCGGGAAGGTTGCCAGCTGCCTAGCTCCGAGGTGGGGCCTAGGCGGCAGTAGGGGAATTTTTAGAACAATGACGAATACATTAGCTTTGTGTAGAAACTAGAAAGCTGATTGGTTTATTGAGAGAGAGAGAGAGTCAACAATCACTTTCACTTTTCTCTCCAGAAACCTTGGTGAACTTTGAGATCCCTCACATTGAAGTTGGGGAAGGGGGCAAACTACCATACATTCTTGTTAAAAATAAAAATAAAAATAAATAAAAAATAAAAAAAGAATGTTAGGTCATTGCCACTTTTAAGGTCTTCTCTTTTCTTATAACAACTTCTTGTAATTTGAAAACAAATATGTTGTTCTTCGTATAATCTTCTTGCAGTTTGCTGCAAGTTTGTTGCAGTTTTGCTGCAGGTTCATTAATTAACGTATTGTATGAAAAATGAGATCATCTTATGCGTAAATAGGTGTAAATTTTAAACTATACATTTTTTCTCAAAAATCAAACCTAAACCGTTTGAAACCACATGGAACCGAACCAAATGGTTTGGTTTCATTTCGGTTTTGGCTTCAAAACCGCACCACACCGAACCGCAAAATTTCAGTTTCACTTAAAACTATACCGAACCAAACTGTGCCCATCCCACAAATGGAGATGAGTGTGTTCATGGTGAAAGTGGTCCAGCCATCGATACGCCAAACTTTAAATGTCACTTGGGAATACCTGATCCTAGAACACTCAACTTTGCCAAGAAAGCTAATGAAGTGACATCGTTCAACGAAAGAATAAAAAAAACTCTTAGCTGACAGAGACTTGGGATAAATAATTAGTCGAAAATGTGAACTTGATGTTTAACCAAACGGTCGAACCACTTTCACCATAAAGACACTCATCTCCTTGAGTATCTTTGCCCCTATAGTTTGATACAAATTCGTTGCTCTTATATTTTAAAAAATATAGTTGGAATTGCTGAACGTGGTGTTGAAGTTTCAATTTCACAGCAAAATGCATAACCTTGTCTTCAGGTTTAGAACACAAAGTGTTCCTTCGCTGAGGTCCCTTATTCAAGAGTTGGGAGTGCATTCCATTACATTACCATACTCAAAATTATTCACCCAGCCAAGCTTGGTAGCGAATTGGTATGCCCGCATGAGCAATCAATTACTAAAGTACATAATTAGCTCATTTAGTTAATCGATCTGTGCAACATGTAAACTTTGTATTTTTTAGACTCAAAATAGTGCAATCGATCAACACCGACCGTTAAGCTTGCTTCCCCCTAATGCATTATTAGCTTGGAGATTCGGAGGTTTCTCCTAGTAATGGTATTAACTGTTTCATGGAAAGAAAAGGTTCAAAATAATAACATGGTTTTGCAACCATATCCGATTTAATATCAATGGTTAGGATTGGATGATCAAAGCAAGACACCAAATGCAATAGCACCGGAGAGTTTTGTGGCCAGAATAACCTTTACCAGCTTTTATAGAAAAGTTTGGACAGAGGAATCTTGGATAGGTTGAGTGATACGATTTTGTTTGTTTGTTTAGATTGATTAAAATTGGAAAAGGAATAAGTGACGTTGGCCTGTCTTCCAAGTCCCAAGCAACAACTTTGTTTACAAGTATTTTCTTTTTAATCAATCGAAAAGATTCGATCTGATTGATAAAGAAAAGAAAGATACTGAACGTGCTAAACTAAGGCTTGTGACTGACTTGAACGCGTGTTAGACATTTTCTGTAGATCTCTATTTAAATTTATATAATATTATCTGTATGTAAAAAACAATTATTTTTATTTTATCTTCCAATAGTTTCCAATGTAATAATATAATTTAGTAAATGTACAATTTTCAAATTTAAAAAATAAAACTTTGGAATTGTTTCATTTGTCCAAAAAAAAAAAAAAAAAAAACCTTTGGAATTATTTCAGCTACTATAATAATTATAGCGCCCGTTATACCTAACGAAATAATTAGCTAGTATTAGTGCTTTGGTAATTCATTTCCCCAATTTATAATTAACAAGTGGTAGTTTTTGTTCTTTAGCTTGGGAAAAAACACAAGTGATGATGAATATTATTCATTTTAGAACCCAATAGATCAAAAGTCACCCAATCAGAAAATTATAACGCTTTCTTATTTTTATTTTCTTATTTACATTATATATATTTTTTCAATTAAAGTATTGATTGACGTACTTATTTTCTATTATTGACACATACATAATTTATGTGACAACCAATCCCTAACTTCACGATTTTATTAATTTTTAAATGAGTGAATTGACGAAAATGCCCATAGAGGCGAGATCGTTGACTTTCGTTGACCATCATTTTGTGACGCGTGTGGGCTATTATTTTATTTTATTCTCGAAGTACTTTATGGTACGAACGCATAGACATAAGCAGAACTAAATTTGGAGGTACGACGAATATTTTACAAATTTCGGAGCAAAATGGACGTTTTGGTAAATTCACGTTATAGGAGATAATTTTCTATATTTTTTTTGAAGCTGTTGAACTTTAAACTTTATGACCCTTGGGTGGGCTTTCAAGCCCAGGCCCTTTGACCCAACACCCTTTAGACCCAGGCCTTTGGGCCTTAGAACCTAGCCAAGTGGCAAAGGCCAGGCCCACCGAACCTAAGCCCAAACCTATTGGACCCAAGCCCAAGAACCCAGGCCCAAATCCTGTCCAACCCGTCCCGCAATATTTATTTTTGGGATATAATTTCCGTGATAGGTCAAAATAAACTCTTGTTTATTTACTACCGTTACTCACAATTCTTTATCTAAATTTATTAGTCACATAACCAAAATTTGGTTACGAAAACATAAGATTTAATTTTTCAATTAAACACCAAATTTCTTTTCATCAATTCAATTTCCCAACAAAAGATTAATCTCAATTATTTAAGGTTGCATCTAACCCCTGTTAGACTGCTTATGTACCCTTGAATGGAATTAAGCCTTTCGTAGTTCACCATTCATTTTTATTCCATTTCCCAAATCCTTCTAGTGACTACCATCTACGAAACTAGGTTCAAATAAATGAATCACACCAAATGAAAATCATTCATGGATTTAGAAGATCAAAATGAGCTTAAAAAGATAGCTTTGGCCCTTTGGCCACGCGCTGCCGCACACGCCGCCACAGGTGGTGGTTTTCGACGAACGAAAACCACCAAATTCCGACCAACTCTAAAAATTACCAAATTTTACAAGCAAGTAGATTTCATTGAGAGGAACAACTTTCATACCTGGGCCGAAGTCCAATTCGGCCGGAAACTACCTCAAATTGCCCTCGAACCACCAGAAACCCTTAAATTTGGGTGTTCTTGATTCGACTCCAAAACCATTATGACGCCCTAACTAATGCATGGGCTTTGTCCCAGACCTCAAGGGGAGTCCAAAGGTGGTAGAAATTGAAGGGAATCGTTTTGGAATTCACCGGAAAAAGGAGAAACCCGCTTGTACAACCGTGGGTTTATGGCTTCGATTCGTAAAATTGGATAAGAAATTTAAGAATCTAACACTACAGAGATGTTGGGCTCGTCAAGAGCTTTCCATAGACACTGGAATCACTTCCAACGGACATCGAATGGGAAACCGGGTCAAGGAACCGGGTCGGGTCAGCAGAGTAAGGGGATCCGGTTCTCTCTCATCCTCCTCCCTCCTTTCCCCTCTTTTCCTTCCCCCTTGATTCGTCTGTGTCCCTCCCTTTTCTGTCGTTTCTTTTCCATCATAGCCGTTCATATCCTTCCTTTCTTTTCTTTTCTTCCCATCTCAACCACACACGTGATAGAATCTCAATGCTCCAGAAATCTGGAGCCTTCTAAATGAGGCCTAAATTTCAAATATGTCCCTAACTTTATACGTTAATAACTCTTTCGTTAAAACTCCGTTTCACAAACGGTTTCGCCTACGTGCTCGTAGGATCATCCTCTATCCAAATATGTCAAGAAATCTGATAAAAAATATATAAGGATAAAATACGTCCTTGCACAATTACGTTAAGCCAACTAGAGGCATTTCCATCTTTTCAACTTAACGATAAAGTTCACAACATAATTTATAATAACTTTTGAAAACAAAACTTTAAAAGTTCTAAATTCAATTTTTCATACCCATAAGTTGATTTATTTTCAATTTTCTCCAAATATTCATAATTATGAATATCTAATTCATATATTTAAATTTTCAGGGTATTACAATGTGTACTTTTATGGGGTTTGAATTAAAGCCATGATTAATATTTTATTTAGTTCTATTATGTTGATGTGAATTATCGAATTATTGTGGCACGATTATATTTATGTTATCTGCTCATCGTTTGCTGCACCGGTGTTAGTACTCACCCGGGCCAGGGCCAGCTTTCCCGTGTATGTGCACATCGCATCGTACGCTCACTTTGGATCCATTGTAGGTGTCAGTCCTGTCCTAGATTGCTATAGGCAATTAGGACTCGTTTATGTTGCGCATAGCGCCAGTCTTCACGTGATTGTAATACTAGAGCTATATCATTGTTACAACTAGTCCTGTTTATGTCATAATACCTCTGCATGAACTAGTGTGTCAGCATGTGTCGATGAGCACTCGATATGATATGTTGCTTATGCGAGATTATGTGATTATGGACGTCATGCGCTTATTTACGAGATATTGTGCCATATTGAATTCTTGAGATATTGCAGGCTATGGTAAGTATTTTCATACTATACGTAGTATGTATATTTTGGAAATTATACTTGTTTTACGACGAGGGGTTATAAAGTTTTCAAAAAGGTTTTTTTATAAAACTTTATTTTTAGGCCCACTCACCTTGTTTTTCGCCCCTGCAGGTTTTAGTGGCTAAGCATTTGTGTCGACGAGGATTTTAGGCAAACTATTGTTGTGGAAATACTATCGATGGTATAATTCCTCCTTAACCTTTACTGTACTTTACTTATACTCTGACATCACGTGTGAAATGGTCTCTTTCCCACTTACAAGCGCACTCTTATATTTAGACACTTTTAGGTTTAAATTTACTTAAATTTTCCACATCAATATACTTTATGGCTTCATCACCCTCCGGATGTCGGCCATCACAACTCGATTCAAAGTCCAAGTAAACATTTCGGATCGAGATGTGTCAATTTACGAATTTGTTCTAAAAAATGATTTGCCTATTATTACTCTTTACTTTATCTTGAGTGCGTCAGCACGACCAATATATGTAAGAGATGTTGTTTGGACTATTACATGGATGCATGCTAGTTGCTACCACCAAGACACCAACTAACATTGAGATACAATAATTCATGCCAAGGAAATGACCTGCGCTGTGCCATTGCCCGGAGCCTGGTCTCTATCCCCTTTTCTCCCCTCCTATTTGAACGGTTGCGGTTAAGCCAGATCAACGTTTTGAGTTATTTTTTTAATAGCCAGAAGAAAATAAAAAACAATTTGTTAGAGAAGGACAAGAAATGGGATAAGAATAGGAGGAAAGAGAATCTTACTTCCCGTTGCCCAATTGCCATGCAGCAATTTAGCCATTTGAAATCACAGTTTTCGAAATATATAAAAAATAAATGACATGAGTCACTGACAAATAGATGAACCAATTAATTAAACCCAAGAAATTAGTAACTTATTTATTTAGTAAACATATATTGTGACATTTAATGCATGTGGGAAACCTTAATCAACAATGAAGTTTCATGGAAATGATTACAGTACTGTACTAAAGATAGTTACAAATCTAAACATACCTCATGGAAATGATTACAGTACTGTACTAAAGATAGTTACAAATCTAAACATACCTCATTGCCCACATATAAATACACACAACACAAGGCCTAAACCACAACAACACTACTCCATCCTTCAACCTCCAAAAGCCTAATCAAAACCAGTTCGAAAACCCTAACAAGTAAAAATGTATCAAGATATTTGCTTGGAGTTTGATTTTGCTCTTTTGGAGTCGATTCGGCAACACCTTCTTGACGATAATTTTGATACTACTTTTCAGGAATCATCACCAACAGCTTCAGGCAGTCCTTCCCCAATGTACTGCCGAAGTTTAAGTTTCAGCACCCTTTCCTCGACGGAAAGTTGGAGGGACATGCTGTTTAAAGTGGAACCGGAAGACACTAACGAAGTTGTTGGTGCTTTATCTGATGGCACGGACGGGTGGAGTCCGTCATCAGATCACCATTACGTTGATGTTATAGATACCACACCCGTGAAACCGGAGCCTCAGGAGGTTGTCAGAGAAGAGATAGTGGTGGCGCGTGAGACTCACATGCCACCGTCGCGGCTGCACTTTCGGGGAGTGAGGCGGAGGCCGTGGGGGAAGTACGCAGCGGAGATTAGAGATCCCAAGAAGAACGGGGCCAGAATGTGGCTCGGGACTTATGAGACGACTGAGGGTGCGGCATTGGCTTATGACCAAGCTGCTTTTAAGATGCGCGGCTCTAAAGCCAAGCTCAACTTCCCTCACCTTATTGGCTCGGAGGGATGCGAGCCGGTTCGAATAATAGCAAAGCGGCGTGCCCCGTTGTTCTCCACTTCTTCTTCCTCGTCGGAAAGTGGGTTGCCAAAGCCGAAAAGGAGGAATACTGGACTTCGCTCGGTGGCTGAAGCCGAGTCGGGTAGCACAAGCCGGGTTGAGATGGTTGAGAAGAGCTAGCTAGCTGCTGTTGATCAGTGGCTAAGTGATGAGTATTTATCAAATATAGCCAGAAATTAATCCTTAATTTCAAATATGTTACTTTTTTATAAATAAAAAATTTCAAAATATATTCAAAATTTCAATAAAATAGACACAAATAACCTCAAATTTAAAAATTAAATAATTAAAAGTTTTTTAGCTACCATCGCCTCAAGCTCCGATCCAACTCATCTTCGCTTCTACACTCCACCACCACAACCCTATCCCCTTCGACCCCCTCATCACCGACATTAAGCGTTGTCGCGGTTACTGCAAGTGGGAGTAGCAGAATTTCAATCATGCCTTCAACGCCTTGTTTCTTACTAATATCATTTTTAGTTTTAAATATAAAAATAGTTTTTAAAGTTAATCCACATGTCGTTATATGATTGTATTTGTGAGACCCACGTGGCACCATATCAACACACTAACAGAGCAATTGACAGATTTTCCACGAAAAAACTAAAATGATCACGATGGACAAATTCAAAGAAAGACTAAAATGATTCACGATAGACAAATTCAAAAACACTACTATTGATTTATCATTAATTGTTAAGGACCAATTAAGGAGTTATATCAACGTCACGAACTATTTTGGCTAAAAGCCTTTAATTTATTGTATTGTTAAATTTGTGGGTATTTTTGTCTTTAGGTGAAATTTTGGATATATTTGAAAATTTTTATAAAAAGTGACATTTTTGAAATTAAAGGTTAATATTATTAAGTATACAAGTTAGCAATACAGTTAGTAAGTTGGTTAGAGTAGTTAGGCTCTCCCATATAAAAACAGTTGTGTAACCTTCATTCTATCAATCAATACAAAAGCATATTTCTCTCTCTAAATCTATCTCTCTGTAAAACTCTCTGTGTTGATCTTTCTTCTCTTCAGCTTTCTTCTTGATTTTCTTTCAATTTCCAAACATTACAATGTAGCTAACATGGTATCAGAGCCACCAGGCTCACGCCATTGATTCTGGTGGTTCCATTTCTCATTAATTTCCCTCTGTTTCTAGCTTATTTTCTTTCCAAATTTCTGGGTAGAGTTTGCTTTTGATTTTTTTTTTCCAGTTCTTGCTGGGTTTGCGAACTCGGTCCTGAGTTTCTTGAACTGGGTTTGGATGAGAGTTGGGTTTGCGGATCTGGGTCGAGATTTTTTGAAGACCGGTGTACCAGTCAGGTGGGTTTTGGCGTTTGGCGGCGAGTAGGTTGTCGATGACGTCAAGGATTTGGTCAAAGCCGGAGTTGTAGGGGTCAGATTCTCGACTTCTTGACGTCGTTGGGCTGTGAGAGAATCTCCGCAGTCATGGTTCGAGATTGTAGAATCAAGCTCAAATAATCAGAGGATGGTGACATGTGACATCTGCTCGCATTCGGTTGTTGCAGGACCTTTGAAAGGTATAAGAGGGCTCAATTTCAAGGTTGTCAATGGCGTCTTCTAGTTTTTGTTCGAGCTTACCCACAACAGCTGCTCGCATTTCCCCCAAAACCCAGTTCGTATCTGGCTTGAAATCCAAGAAATTAATTTTGGGTTCCCGATCTTTGGTCAAACCCCAGAGGCTTTTCTCCTCTGTTCGTCGTGTAATGGGTTCATCTGCTTCTTCCCCAGACAGAGCTCAAGGGACAGGTGTTGGTGATTAAAACTCTGTAAGTGATCAAGAATGGAAGGAGAAACTCACAGAGGAACAGTTTTACATTACTCGTAAAAAGGGAACCGAGAGGGCTTTCACTAGGGAATACTGGAATACGAAAACTAAGGGAACATACATGCTGCAATGTTTGTATACTCAGATTATACATGTTTTTTGGCCAAAGTTGAAAGATCTCGCTCCACCGTCGGTCTTTTGATTTCTTGGTGCTTGAAAACAAGATGTGACTGAGAATAAAGTTTGCTTTCTTTGCACTATTGATTATCTGCTTCTTCATTCATCTTGGTGGTGCAGATTTCTGAATTCTTTTTTTGTGGGATTTTGATCTATGCTCTGTTCTCTGGTATGGAAGAATGTTTAGACCTATGTGCAGCCCAAGTGTTTGACGAAATGCCAAGCTCAGAATTTTCGAGAAGGTTAAGTTTTTCAGCCACTTCTGCTTAATTTCTATGTTTGTGATATTTGGATTAAAGAATATTGGTTATTGATGGATTGTGCAATTTGTATGGTGGTGTCCAATTCTTTCTCTGCTTCACTGATGGTCTGCAAGGTTATTGGGTTTGATCTTTCTGCAACTCTTGATATATTTGGAAAAATGCGTGTGAATTCTTGCATTCTGGTATGTACAATTTTGTGGTTGTTCCGATTGTGGTTTGTGTCAAAATTCAGAACTGTAAAGTCTAAGAAGATTGTTCAGCAGCTAACTGAGGAGTGGTGCAGTATTTTCCTTATTACAGCCTATAATGTCGAGTCTAACCAACTCAATTGTTAGCATGAATCTACAGTAAGTCCGGTTATACGATGAAGTTTGATGAAGTTGTAAACGGTAAATCCCACGAAGGGTAATTCCGTGATGTAAGTAGGTAAATCCCACGAAGGGTAATCCTACATAGATGTTGATTTTCTGTTGTTGAAATTGTGAAGGCCAATGCCACTATTAAGAGTAGTTGTATTTTGGTAAAATCCATAAAGGGCGATCCCGTGGTGCTATAGTTAAGGCCGATGCCACACTATAGTTTGTTATTTTTCTGTTTAAAGGCCGAAGCCAATGTTAAATGAAGTTGTTGACGGTAAATCCCACGAAGGGTAATCCCGCAAGAAGTTGTTATAACCGGCCTGAGGGTGTGTTACAATTTTATAAGAGGCTTTGTATGGAAAATTTCAAAAGGTCCAGATGAAGAAGGTACGCCACAAATCACTGGAAAGGTTGTGATTGCTATTCAAATAGTTGGAGAGGGGGAAGCTGTTCATCCACGAGTTTGTTGGCACTGTCATAAACAAGAGGTTTTGGTGGTTGGGTTTGGAAAGTGTGTACTAAGAATTGACACTACTAAAGTTGTGAAGGGTGAACCCCCTTCTGCTGATGAGCCTCTCAAATGTCCTGTTGAAAAGCTGCTTGATGGAGTCCAGTTTGTCGGTAAACATGATGGAGAAGTGACTTTTTGATAAGGAATTTGGTGTGTCAAAAGAGTTGCTCATGAGACTTTGCTGTGGGATTGCAAGATTGCAGATGGTTCAACATTGTGTTCAGTGATTGTAGATGTTCTTCCAATCTCAAACTGGGTTTCCCCAATTGAGATTGAGGGTATTAAGTATACAAGTTAGCAATACAGTTAGTAAGTTGGTTAGAGTAGTTAGGCTCTCCCATATAAAAACAGTTGTGTAACTTTCATTCTATCAATCAATACAAAAGCATATTTCTCTCTCTAAATCTATCTCTCTGTAAAACTCTCTGTGTTGATCTTTCTTCTCTTCAGCTTTCTTCTTGATTTTCTTTCGATTTCCAAACATTACAATGTAGCTAACAAATATTTTACTATATTTGATAAATACTCCCAAGTGATCTTAACACGAGCTACATGAATCATTGATAAGTCGCTTATGATTAATATTTAATGCTGGGTTAATGGTTGCATTATTTAGAGTAATTGGAGACTCCCCAAGTGTAAAGCGTTAGATTTTTTTTATTTTTTATTTTTTATTCCACCCTTTCGTTTTGTACATGATCGTTAATGGAGGCTAAATTTTTGTTATTTATTATGTACCTTCCTTTTCCTTTTGGTAAGATATTTTTCATTTTTTTTTTCTTTTTCATTTTTTTTCTTTTTCTTTTCTGAACAACGATATTATCTACGTGGAAAAGTAGGCTAAGCCTCATAAAGAACTAGCAATAATATGCTTCAAATTTATTTTTGGCAAAAATCAAACATAAGACCTTTTGCTTACCAGTGAAGAGGAATACTATTATTTTATTAAAAGCAAATTTTTTAAAATATAAATGTAAGGATTCATAATATACTTCTCCCATATTGTATTTCATAATTACAATTCACAAATAGAAACATGGGTATTTCTAGAGAAACCAAACTTTTAAACCAAATTTTGTAAACCAAATGATGTGGTTGTTGATGATTGAATTATTACTTAAGTGTTAAGTAACGTGCTTATTTCTTATTGGTGACACATCATTTGGATAAAAATTTAATCTACCTAACATTACCCTAGAAATAGTATTAGAACTTAAATCCTCCAATCAAAACATAGAAAAACACATGTGCAAAATGACCCCTCACACAAGTTAATAATCATTTATCTAAGTTGACATTTTATAATTATGTTATTGTATTTATCAAATAGTCCATCTCTAAGACCTACTCCAACAATGGGAGCAAAACTCAAGTTTTAAGTTTGAAACCCACCTCAACTTGCTCCAATCCTTAGGCTAAAAATGAGTTTTAACCCAAAATCAAATGTGGGGCAAATTTTCGGCTATTCCATACTGGGTTAGTGAGTTGGCTCACGGATGAGAGTGGGCGCACCAGAAAAAGTTCAAACGCAACAAGCTTCACTCGCCCAACGCTGTCTACACACAATGCTCTAATATGGAAGCGCCCCACTTACGTGGGTCATGTCGGCCACCATAATGAGGCCTAATGACTCTTTAACAAATCGAATTGTCAGGGAATTTGGACGGTTGGTTGATCCAACTGTCTAGATTCAAATTTATTTAATTTTTTGTTTTGTATTTATAAAGTCATTGAATCCCACGGTTGAGATCTAATATCATCAAATCTAATGGCTAAAAAAAAATCTATTGGCCCAAATTCATGGTGTCGGTTTATTAATTATCGTTTGTATTAACTTTATGTAGCTTCATGGTGTCGATTTATTGATTTCTCAATATTTATCGGAATATAAATATTTTTAGGTAAAAATGTTTATAAAACTAAATTAGGATGGTCTACATAATTTTTCTTTTTAAAGTTACTTTTTTAAAAAAATAAGCCTAAATTCATTTTTTAATAATCTCAAGCTAAATATATAGCTCAC